ATCTAGGACTTCTAGACCTACCCTCCTGTTGAGAAATCAAAAGCAGTTGTCATCTTCCCTTACACTTCTGGAGTATAAATTGCATCAAAAGTGTCAAGAAGTGGAGCTCAACAGGAATGGAGTTCAGCTTCTACTTTGCCTTTCTCAGTAGAGGGACACCTGCTCCCAACTCTTCTCCAAGCTCCTTGTTAAGAGTCATCTGTAGTTTGCCAGATGGTTCTGGGACAGGCAGTGAACACCAGGGTTGAGGCCGGTCAGATCTGCTGTCCTTTAGAACAGTTAGTAAGTGCCAGAGTTTGGTTTATAGACTGCGTTCTCAGCAGCTGGAAGAACATATTTAAAAGAGCTATGGCTGCAAACAGAAGTTAAGACTATCATTTCCAAGCATGGTCACTGCATGCCCATGTGCTTACAGCAGATTTTCAAAAGCATTCCAGATTTCATGCTCTCCAAAGGGAGCAATGTTTATTAAATTAAATCACTATTATTAGCAGTCGTTCTGTAGCAGAAGGTGTAGCTTTTATGCCTGTATTTGTAAAGGCTGGAGTATAGGTTTATCTGCACTAAATTCTGTCCCATATAGAGGGTAGAGACAGAGAAGGGTCCCAACCAAGAATCCTTGATTCATGTGCCTTCACACTAAGGAGTTTCAAATTCATATGTCTACCAGATTTGTAGCAGCAATAAGTCTGAAAACTTCCATCATGTAATAGATGGCAGATGAGCTTTCAATGCAGCATACATTACTTAGGAAGAAACTCTATAGGTAATGGCTCAGTAGGGGAAAAAAATATTTCTGATGTTCTCTTTCTGAAGAAGCTGGTGTATCACTATCTTATAAATCGTATTTATAAATGATCTGTGCATTATACACTATAGAAACAATCCTCACTATTGTGTTGCTCCAGACACTGCTCATTCTTCCTATATCCCACAGCGAACATTATATTTTTAAGAAGGATCAGGAAACTATCATTTTTCTTTCTCCATTTGTCTTGTAATATATTTGTGTAACCACTCCTGACTTTTTGGCAAATGTGATTGGAATAACGATCCTTCTTTCTTTCACCTACCGTACCAAAAGATAACTACCCAAAGCCACAGGAACTCACAGTGTCCTTGATTCTCAACTTGGTCATTCAAAACACAGCTGTATGCAGTTTGTCTGTCAAGGTCACCAAATTAATTTAGTGCCATAATCACTGCTTTTATGACTGTCCTTGAAAACTGCAGGCCTGTTCCTATCAGTTTTATACCCTTGAGAAAGAGAAGACCTGCAAACTGAGAAAGTTTTCATCCACATGAATATATCTGCACCTAAGAGAGCACTACTTGTATTTTTTTTTGGTGCAACCAGACTATATGTGCTACAACTTCTGAGAAGCCAGTGTCATCTGATGCTTCACTTGCCAGATGCAACTGCAATCTCAGCATCAGATTTCCCACTTGTGAAACTGGGTAAAGGTTTGTTTAAATCAGTAGAGAAACACCTACTTGTGCAATTTGATTAGATCTGACAGAATCAGTATCTCACTTCTCTAATACTCATAATGCTTAGCCACATATCTAGCCTTCCTTCCCTTCGATAGTTAACCTTTTCCATTAAAGACAAATGCAGGTCATTATTTCAGCAATTTTATTTTATTCATTGTTTTTTTTCTCTCTTAATTACAGCAAAAATGCAAGACAGACATTTATAAGCAAGTTCTAAAAAAACTGGCACTTCATCAGCCACATTAAGTACATGAGTAAACATGAAGTCCATAAATGACCTTTAACTGATGTCTCAGAGAGAGATACTGAACTATCATCCTTGATAAATCGAAGTTTTGGTCATTCATTATTTTAGAAATAATAAATGGAGTAAAAATGAGAGAAAACAAAAGGTTTAAAAACCTTTCTCCTGACAACTGAAACAAAACCTCAAAGAACCTGGAGAAACAGCATGCCTAGCACTGAAAAGTGAAATAGGAGACTATCCAAATGCAGATGTTTTTCAATAAACTGTGGCATTACTATTCATCATCTGAAAGGAATAATCCAGTACTTGCTCCTTTGTCATGTACTTTTCTTGGCATACTGTGTATATTGGTATCAGGAGTTTTCATAGAGGTATGTATGTGCAAAACGTGCATTGTAGGATGTTGTTCCTTTTGGAGTAGATCATTAATATCCTTAATGCAGGCAAATGAATGGATTATGGAGGAAGTTCTAGCACAGTCAGCAGAACTTCTTGATGAAGATGCTGTTTCCTTACAAGTACGGGTGCTATAGTCAACTCTAATATGGGGGATAAATAGACTTTATTTATCTTACTTGCAGCTGAAAGACAACAAATGTTCCTTTTTAAAAAACCTTTTGATATTTTTTTCACTGCAGTAGCTGAACATTGTAGAAATAATAATCAATTAATCTTCATCATAATTTTGTGAAGTGGGCAATCTGAGTGCTTACCTTTGAGCAAGGGAGCAAAAACACTGAAAACTTTAGTGCTATGCTCAAAATCACAGACACTATTTCAAAATCTGACATCAAGACCTTATCTGGGTTAACTTACTGCACTGACACCCCCACTACCCTCTCTCAGAAAGGAGACATAGAAAAGGTTTGCAAACATGCTGGATATTGAAAATGAGCTGTGACCCTGAGTTGTCAAGTTCACATCCCAGAAATGTCCAGGTTGGAGTCTTTTGCCTTGCAATGTGAAGAACGAACTGGGATCTGTATGAACAGAAATTATTTTGGTGTAGGTCTATCTGTTGCTCTGCTGGAATATAAATGACAATTACTTTTCTGTGATCAGTGTTTCAGTGCCCTACTGACAAGTAAAAGCATACACAAGTAGTGAAGATCATCGCAAGTAAAAATGAGAAACTGCAGAGAGATTATTCATTACACACTGCCACAGCTCAGTCAAAGAATTCATTCATTTCAGATGCTGAACAAAGGTTTTGAATTTTGTTCTGAAGAATTCTGCTAGTGACTACTGACATGGAGAATAACTGCTGCCTCTGCAGGAGTGAACATTGCTTGAACAAAAACTAAGTTCAGACTGATGTTTTTTTGGCATTTTTGATCCTGTTCATTAGCAAGGAAGCTAGGTGAGGGAATCACACATGCTTGGGGCTGTGCCACGGTCACTTGGCTTGTATTCTCTAGCTATCAAAACTTGAAAGAAACAGCAGCTTGTTCAGTATTATATGCAGTGCTATTTATCCTAGAGAGCTTCTCTGGTATTGACATCCTGGGTTAAGATCTTCATCAAGACATATTGTAAGTTATTACCATAAGGTCCACGGGCTTTGAAATACTCAAAGGATTTGTAATGGAAATACACAGAAATCAAAGCTTCTTTCAAGCCTAGTTTCCACAAGAATCAGGTATAGTTGGCTGTACGTTACAAAAACAATAGAAGGATACTATATTGTTGCCAAAAGTAGCAAATAGTTTTACAGATTTTTGGAATCAAATCTTTTCTTTACACCTACACATGATCAAAATAGCCTGTAAACTTAATTTTAAAATTAAGTAACACAATGATAATTTGTATTGGATGAAGAGCATATCAGAGTGAGAGAAATGGAAACTGGGAAAATAACTGGGGAGGAATCAGACTAGAAAACTTTTGCTGCATCTTCTGTGCATATCCAGTGAAGTATCCTGGCCAGCATGGAGCCTTTATTATACTTACAAAATCACTTTCTTGGATTTCTTGAATCTGCTTTAGGTCAGAGGTCAACTGTGCTGAGGACGAACTTCAACATGTTTCCTGGGAAAAGAACTCAAATGTGGAGAAAACGTCTCCTTATATTTGAAGATGGTTGAAAAGAGCTCTCTTGGCAACCTTCTGTGTGAGTTGCCTTTAGAGATCACCTTGTTTCTGCCACTGGGAGCTCTGGATTAGCTATCAGGATACCGTTCAGGGTGTATATAGAGTAACTCACCTTGTAAAGAGCTTTGGATGCAGACTCTCTGTTGTGGTCCACAAAGGAAAAATGTCCCATTCTTAAGCACGAAGGTTGGATTGGTGTATGCAGGAAGAGAGGTCATTTTGTGGCCTCCAACAATAAGGGGTTCATTGTGCACTGAAATGGCATTAGAAAATGTGGTGTTTGGAGAATGGATGGTTCGTTCTATAAGACTCGAGGCAGAGCTGGGGTGAGAGGAGATAAAAATGGAGAAATTGTAACTGTGATAAATGTTCTTCTGACAGAGCCAGAATTTCACCTGGCACATCTAGACCTGTTTCATTCAACAGGTCCATGGAAAGCATCTCTAATTCTGAAAAAGAAATCGACTTCTTTAGTATGTCTCCCCTTTGTATAGTGACCTATGAGATATCATCCTATGCCTCAGACTTCATCACACAGAGGACTGCAATTTACAAAGCCTCTACTGGATTAGTGTAAGTATTTGCAACATGCAAACCAGGAAAGGAATGTAAAAGGAGAAAATAAATAGTTGCAACTTTTAAGGAGTATGAACAGTGAAAGCAGCTAATTGAAAGCTGACAAGAGTTAATAAAATCATGAAAAAAGAAAAAAGAACAAGCAAGTTCAATGGAAACATCAGGGCAAAAAAGGAAAGTATTTCAGAAGAAACCTACAGGAATAGATAAATATATCAGAAGGACAGTTACTGCAGTCATCTCTTGTAGAGAGGTTACATAATGCTTATCCTGACTTGATTCAAAATAAGCCATCCAACCTTGAGGGAGGAGACTTCTCATCACTGGAAATTTTAAGAGGCCAGATGTGTACCCATCTGATGGCAGGAGATGTGTGCCCTGTGCTTCTGTATGATGCATGGCCAAGCGCAATCCTTAATGTCATAGCAAGTTAACTTTTCTACTGTGATTGCTATAGTGATCTCGCATTTTGAGAGCAATTCAAGGAGTAACCAGCTCAAGACCCATGCCTGGAAATACAAATAGGCAAGTACCAGTCATGATAAGGTTTTTTTTTTCCCCCCATTTTATCAACCCCTGGAGACTAAAGTTCTGAAAGTGCGCTGTTCGTCAAACTGGCAGACAAGGGGACTAATGGCTTTCAGCCATGGTAGCTGGTGGGATCCAAATGAGCAGATGATGGTATGGTGATGGTTTCCAGCTCTATGAAAGAAAACTCCTGCTGATTTGGAAGTTCTCCTTGATGAACACCACATGTCTATACTGAACTTTCTCTTCTATTTATCTTAAATTTCCTATGAAAGCCATTTCTATGTGAAGGGATAAAGAAGCTACGTGCTTAAAAAGAAAATAAAACTGCAGTGCTTAGAAGTATGTTTATTCAACTGTGAAGTCCTCTGCTGAAATAGGGATTGACAGACCCTAGCCATATTTTATCACTACTCTCATAATGCCAGGACTGGAAATGCTCAGAGGCAGCTGATGCCAACAGTAATCTCAGCCATCAGTCCTCAGTTTTAATGTGTCCTGGGGAGATTTATTCTTGCTTTCTTTTCATCATGCTTATTGCAGCCTTCCCACAGTAGATCTTAATGAAAAATATTCCGAATTTCAGTGACAATTCCAAATAACTGACTGAGATGGAACAAAGTGCACCAAGAACTTGATTTGAGGAAGTGGGGACCTGAAATAGGACTTTGGAGAGATGTAGGTCCTTGCCTCCAACAGTGCAATCCTCAAGACCTTCTCTCAGCTGCAGCCTAATGTTGGGCATGCTTAGAATGTGTTGTCATCCTAGTCTTTTACTTCCTAAGCAGCCAAAGTTTGACTTCTGTTCTGTCCAGAACAGTCTTCTTTGTGGTAATGGTAATCACGTAACAACCATCCCATGCCTAAAACCTAAAAGGTTGCCAAACATGAGCAGCCTTCCTCTGTCTGCCTTGCTTGAAGGTGTTAATGCAGTAGGTGATGGGAAAAGGGCACACCTGCTCCAGGATGGTCTCATGCAGCAGAAATGCCCTAAGTCCTCAGGCTGGCACCACGCTGCTTTAAAGCAGCAGGCCAGTGAATATGCTGCTCAGTCTGCTTGTGGGCTATTTTGACTGATGAGGGTGAGAACTGCAAGGCAAACCTATTTCAGGACAGGAGCAAGCTTACCATGTCTTACTGAGACTACGTCACTTTGCCTAAAAATAATATGAAGACTCAATTTAGTGTGCAGGCTGTAAGATGCTCTTTAATTTCACCAGATGACGATTAGTTAAACAGCCTGCTAGTTCACATATGCCTCATGGCTTGTATAGTGTAGCTCATGGTAAGGAAAATATCCAGGAGTCATTCTTGAAAGCCAGTAGTGATTTTTCAGTTTTATGTCTCTTCCTGACCTATCTCTGGCATCTTAACGTGGACACAGATACACACACTCATTTGATTAATAATCTTGAAAAATCTTGAGAAAAGCAAAAAGGCTTAAAGATTCACTACAGGTCAATGCTATGTTCAGCTGCACAGTCTGTTTATATTCTCATCACATAACGTTCTGCCTCTGAAAGGGGAACAGACACAAAACCATCTGTTTGATTAATGGGATGCAGTTACACACAGTGTCATTATAAGTATGTACAGTGAGCTATTCACAAACAGCATAATATCCAAGCGTTTTTTGTTAAAGGAAATTATAAATAACTTCAGCTAAAACTCTTTCTTTCATAACTCCTCTGTCAAAGATTTGCTGACAGCAAGTGCAGGTGAAATTCCGTGAAATTCACTGAGATAGTGATTTATTGCAATTACTTAACTTGCTTTCAAATATATTTTTGTGCATATATGTGCAGAGAACACATGGGATTTTATGAAAGAGGGAGAAATAATCTAATTTCTTTTTGATAAAAACAAAATGCCTGTCCAAGTTTTGGAGGTAGAGAAAAAAAGAGCAGAGCTTTTATGTTCTCCAGAAGCATCTTGAGGTATCAGTCCTTATTTACTGCACCTCATAACCACTTACAGGGAATGTTGGAGATATTTTTTTTTTTCCCCACCAGGGAAAGCTGAATGGGATTGCTGTGGAGTATTACTTCAGCAGTATGCAGGAGAGTGATTTTCACTGCAGCTGGGCAGGAGATGCTCCTTCTGCCCTAGAGGTAAAGCTACATGCTTCTACACCGCTCTGGGCACCCTTCTGCCCTGGAGCACTAGCTTTGATCCAGAAATTATGAAAATCTGTTCCATAGCAGTGCAGAGAATGAGATGCAGAGCCATTTATAACAGCCAGAATAATTCAGTTGTGACCTCTTCATGTTCTCATAAAACTGTTTTTCCCTCTGCATCAGGAGATGAGTCAGCAGTAGTGATAACAAGAGTTAGAGAAAGACTGGAAAAAATGAATGTCCAAAGTACTTTGGCAGTGAAAAATTAAGCTTCAAAGTGATTTCTTCATGGAACATTTTTTTCTCTCTCCAGGACACCAAACTGACTGACTATTAAAGAAAGAAGAAAAAGAGTGAGAGAGAGAAAAAGACTTGGAAGGTATTTCTCAGCATCTGCCAATATCTAACATGCTTTTGGAAAAGTTGCGTAACACAACCTGCCAGGAGAGTCCTGTTTGAACAGAGCTTAGTAATCCTTTCTATTTGGTGGTATGTTTGTGGTTTTGCAGAACTGACCCGCAGGGCCTCATTTTCAGCCGGTGTAACAGGCTGTATTGTTTGTTAAGCCTATAAGGATCAGAAAATCGTCCTCTGAATGAAGTTTAACAGACCATGTGCCTGCCCAGAAATTACCATCAGATTACCATCAGGTCCATTATCCTTCCTGTAGGACACTTTGAGTGAGGGGAAACCTTGAATGTCCTCTTCTTTGAAGGAGAATCTTTGCCTCCAGTGATCAAACATACAGGTAGTCTGTCGGAGAGCTTGCTATATGAGGTGTTATGTTTAAAATAATTTTAACGAGGACTGTTGCAAATTTTTTTTCTGATTTGCAATGTTTTCAATGTAATTTCTTCAGATTTTTTAATCTAGTCAGCATGATAAATTAAAAATGGTGTTGCAAATATTTTTTTCGTTACAGATAAGAGTTAGTAATTCAAATTTTCAAATGGGGGAACTAATATTTAGATACTTTTGGTTTTATGGCCTTTGGATAACAGTTATGAAGAAAAAGGCAAGGAAAAGGAAAGGAAATAAACTAACTTATTTCCTTTTCATGAAATGTGTTGTAAAATTATTTCCTTGCCCCTTTTTCATGATAATGAGAGACAAGACTGAAGAGGCACATTCCTATGTGTGAGTCCGTTTATGTCCAGGGAGCATGTGTATCCTAAAAGGAGCTCTCCAAGGATCCAAGGCTGACACCAACACTGAAAACCGCTGCCTGAGCCTGGAGCAGGTAACATGCCTTCTGAAAAACAGTTTGGCATTGGGATAGAACATCATGCCTTTCCTGAGGTTTGAGCCCTACCTGCCATCCAAAGCTACTTTCTTTACAGCTGCCTTCATATAATGGACCCACCAGAGCCCCCTTGCACAGAGGTAGGTTGCTCATGGTCATACCACACCTCTGACAGAATTGTCAGCTCATGGCTTTTGTTGGCTGGGCTATGTGTGTTTGATGCTGGAGGCCAGTGTATCTACCCTCTCAGATACCTCTGGTGTAGAAGTTTCCTATGGTGGTGCTCTGTGTAGTTGGGACGAAGGGGGCTCTGTGACTCCTATGTGCAGAAACTTAGCTGCCCAGGGGACTACAGATAAACAGAGGAAAGGAAGGGGCTTTGGGCAAGCTTGATGGTAGGTAGCAGCTGAACTGTGTGATGAGACTCTGAGTAGTGTAAATATCTTTGTGGATTTCAACCTTGTGATTTTAAGCAGGACACTCCAGAAATATCCTTGCCTGTGTCCTTCATAGCTGGCTGCTCAATATATAGCTTGTGAGCTTGGGGTATTACAAAAATATAATTTTGCACTGGTGAGGCAAGCTGTGTGCTGCTGTTTTTCCAGACTATATCAGAATACACACCCAGAGGAGAGCGGCATCTACCTGGGGTATCATCCTTGTTTTGGAATTGACTGTCTCTGAGAGTGAAAAATTGCCCATTTTAAACAGTCTGTAGAAAATGTTTGTTGCTATGACTCTAAAATGATGATTATTGTAGGAATGAGTCTAGAAGAAGAAATGTGTTTCATAAGGTTTTTCCCATGAACTTTGCTTTCAATATTTGTTACTTGAAACTAGTAAGTGAAAAAACCCCAAAACCATTGCTATCTTGTTTTATTGTTCTACCTGGCACTGTTCGGTGCATACTGTTTGAGAATTTGACTCTGCACACCAGTAAAATCTTTGCCTTGATCCACTTCTCCTCATAGTCCTGAAGATGCCTATCAAACTAGCTGGGATTTGGCTGAAGCCCACTGAGAGGACTATAACATTCCAGCTTTCTTCAACCTAGAGCTGTGAGAAACATTCACCACAAAACCTAAAACTTTTCAAGTGATCTTAGGCTGAATATCGGATGCAGGGAGGGATTTACTGTTGGGTGGAAATCATATAAAACTCTACTTCTGAAATAATTTTGACCTGAAACCTGACAATGCTCAGATATTTTGACTGAAGTTACTCTGAGGCTACAAAGCCAAAAGTTAAAGAAAAACTCGGAAACTGCAAAGGTGACATGAAGAATTCAAGCTTAACAGAAACCTGCTTCAGCTTTCACGTTGGGTTGAGCTAGGTGTTGTTTAGCCTCTCCGCTTCCAAGTAAACAACAGACATATTTTAAAGCATTGCTATCTATTGCAAGCATGAACACAGACTAGTATAGTGTCAAGCCTGAAAATAATCAAGTCAGTTTTGAATTCTCAAAAATAGTAAAGAACTGTGGGGATAGGACTGTTCCCAAAGATTTGCTTGAAGGCATTGTTTAGAATCCCAGTTGAGATTGCGCATTCCTGGATATCAAACTTGAATTGTTCTTTGTTTAGCGTTGCCTCATCACTGTCACTCATCTCAAACTTTGATGATGAACAGTGTCATGTCCTACTCAGATGAGGGCGACAAGTGACATAGATTCATAAATCCCCAACAGAGTGAACAACAGTGAGACAAGTGTCAAAGTCCAGACATTTATTAACTTCCTACAAATGTACTAGTTGGATACACAATAATTGGCTAAGTATATAACAAGTTATGGCAAGCAATATAGTATGCCTTGCATTTCTTAATGGTAATGAGGGTAAAGGGGAAAAAGAAAAGGAGGGAGATATATATATATATATAGAGAGAGAGAGAGAGAACAGAGAAATAGACATCACCAATCCAGGTTCCAGCATTGGTCCCATCGAAGTTCATCAGGGATTCATCTGTCTTCTTCTTCACGTCTTCTTTTCTTTCTCCCTTTCACTCCTCACCTCCCCTCAATTTATACACACTCCTTGGATCCGTCCCCTAGATTGATCTGCATACCTATGTACCCATGTATGGGGAGGGGTAAAGTATTTAATGGGATGATGTAATTAGCATGATCTTGTTAGTTTTTATTAGCATATTCAGGGCTGTCAACTTTAATAAGCGTTTTGCAGATCATGAAGCAAAGGTCATTCACTGGACAGATGGCCTTTGAAACTTTACAAGAGGTCCCAGGGCAAAACCATCCTGTTTTCACAGAACTCCCTCCTCCTGCTGTATCCTGTGTCATCCAGGCAGCTTTATCAGCTCCAAACTCCACACTATCCACCCTGTAACTATAGTTTCACTACTTGTGAGTTTTTGAGACATTCCTCAGCTCGAAGGGCCTCTGCTCCCCCCATCTCTTCTCTCTTTTAGGCTGTTTTTTCTTACAGGCCTGTTTCTCTCACGCCCTGTTTCAGGGAGTTACAAGTCATGTCTCACAAGCAGCATCTTGGAAATAATCTTGAACAGTGTATTTGTGTTGTCCCTTATTTTAAAAATATTTTTTTTTCCCTCATCTTGTATTGCATTATGAATGACTACCAGAGATCAACACTCATCAGCGAGTAGAAATAACAGCAGGATTTGCTTAGTTATATTACCCAGACCAAATTTAATGGAGAAGAAGCTGTGCTTCATTCACAGATGAGAATATTCTTGGGAGAAAAGAGCTTTTCTCCATAGAAGTGTTACTGCAGAGGATCAGACAAACATTTCCAGCTCTCTGAACAGTACAAGTTCTGAGAGTTGCAGTTCCAACAACCTCCAGGAAAGGAGTCAGTCATGCACATGTATGTGAATTCTCTCACATGAATAAAAGCAAAGAAACTTTCTGAGATGCTGAACCCTATCTTTTTTCTCAGTGTGGAATTTTCTGTCTGGAGCAAAAGAACATGCTATTCTCTCTCCCACTGCTTCTTGCTGCTTATATTGCCTCCCTAATTGGAAGCTGCAGTATAGATGTGCAAAAAAGGGTATTCTTTGAGCATACCTCAAGGGTGAGCTGTCTAACCAAGGAAACTATTTCATCCTGTCTGTTGTGAGAAGAACCTGGCTCAAGAGAACGCCTATTTCATTACTGAGCAGAGCAAAAGACGGCAAGAAAAAAAGACTGAAAACTGAAACTGCAATACATTAATCTTCATATTTTCTGTGGATGGCTTTTTGTAGTCTGCTACAGAATTATTTGCTTTTAATTTGTATAACTGAAGTTCCAGCATTCTGCTTTTATCACTGCTTCAGATTAAACTGTATTTTAATCGCTGAAGAAAGAAGACATAATACTCCAGACTAGATCTGTTACTTGCTGCAGAGCAGGCTATGCTTTCAAAACATTTCCATCATATACCTTGCATTTTGCACTCACAGGTGCACAAATGGAATTAGCAGTTTTCAAAGGCAAGCCTGACAGCTTAGCAGTGCTCTCTGCAGGGGGACTGTTAAGTGTGGCCTGTCCAAAAACCTACCCACCTGGATGTAGGTGGCACCCGCAACATAAGTGGTTGATGATGATGAATCAGTCATGGATGTCATGGTGATTCCAGAAGAGTATGTCTAAACTAACAAATTTTTAAACCTGTTTCACTGCCAGAAATGCCACAGTTGTTCCAATGCCAAGCTACTATTGCAAATGGGGCACAGCTTTAATAAGTATGATGGTCTTAATCCAGCAAATTTTAATGTTAGAAATATCCCAGCTAAAGACAGTGGAGTAATTTGGGTGTTTAAAATTAAGCATATGCATATTTTCTAAGTAGTATTTTGGAAGGGTGTAGGTATCATTGAACCAAGCTCCAGATGCCCTCTTTTCATTGCTGAAATCGTTTGGAAGTTGAGAGTAATATTCATCATCAGACAAACAAATGGAGGATGACTCAGTCTCATCCTCACTCAGAGGGGAAGAATCCAAAGGGAATTGGATTTCCCTGTTTAGAGAAATCCATGCAAAGGGAAAAGAATTCACATTTGTCTGAAACAGTGAAATGCAATCCTGTAAAAACTGTTTTCCTGTAGTTATTCAAAATCAGGTCTGAGGTTTTTAGGTCAAACACAGCTGATTTCTCTCTCACATTGAAGGAAAGGCTTGATATTATGGTGAACTTTTGCTTGAAGAAACACACAATGATTCCAGTCCCACATGCGTTCCTTCTCAAATCAATGAGAAGGTACCAGCAGCTCATCAACCACGACTTTCTGCTACTTAAGCCAAGAGCAAAAGATAGGTGCCATGGAAAGTCTGGAAAGTCCACAGTGAATTCAGCACAGATAAAGTAACTCTTTTATTAGCCCCCCACAATCAAAACCACTGCTGTAATACTGACAGCTTATTTCCCTTATGTGCTTAGTGTCTTATTTCTTATTACAGATAGTGAAATATACGGAAAAAAAAACCCCACTAAGTGAAATGATTAAAGAAAACTGGAAGATCTCATCAAATGCTCTCCAGGGTAAATGCAAGTTGAAAGGTTCAAGTACTGAGTTCATCAGAGTGTCTTAAAAATATCCTTCATTATTTTTTATTAACTAAATATCTCACCTTCCCTGGTTAAAACCTTGTTCATTTTGTTGAGTAAATGGATGAACAAAGCTTGATGGATGATGAGAAATCAGCCATATAGAACGTCATAAGTAACAAGGGACCATTAATCTGGCATAGTTTGAGCCCCACTTTCAGCAGAGGGAGTAGAAGTTAGCTGTGATTAACATTGAATGTCTTCTGATCATTGTCAAATAACTATTAGAAGGTGCATAGCTCTGAACTGGTTTCATGATAATGAAACACCACCTTTTCTAACACAAGTCAGCAGTAAATTTTTATAGCTGTGTGATGGGATGCACTGAGCCTCTCCTGTTGTTATCCAGAGTTTTCCTGAGCAGAGAAAATAGCACTGCTGCTAGTTCTCGGCACAAAAATTGCCATGGGGTTTCACCAGGAAGGAAATGTAGGGGGGGCTCAGCTGAACTGAGGGACTGAACACTGAAGGGATTAAGAAAAGTGTGGGGATGATCCCCATGAACTTCTGGCCAGCAAGGGAGAGGGAAGGAGGGTAATACTCTGAAAGAAAACTTTTGAGTCACATTTTCTAAGCTGCACAGCTGCATGTAGTTTGTGGAAGGATAAGATTTAACTGCAGAAAACTTACGTGTGAAACAAGTCCAGACCAGGGGGCTGGCGAATTGAGCACAGTGCCCACTTTAGTCATGTAAACCCTCACAGTGGGCCCCTATTTTCAGTACAAAAGATGACTCAGAGACATTCATCATAAACAGCACATTGAGAAAAGTTATTCAAAGAAATCTGAAGCAATGCAATATTCAAACTGAATCTAAGCAAAACATGCTTCAGTTAAATAACATATTGGAAATATATTGGACTCTTATTTGTGATTTTCCTCAGGGCAGTATTAGTGCAATAACAAAACAGATGAGGCTGAGTGCTTGACTTAAAAAGGCTGGGCCTTCAAGGCCTGATTTACTGTCCAGTGAGGCTTTGCAGGCTGGTCTTCCCAGGCGCAGCGGTTCCTGGGTTTGGAACACCGAGGCGAGAGCCTTGGAGCGCAAAGCAGTCCAACTGCGGCTGAACATAAGGTCACAACCAGGAACACATGAGATGAATAAATCTTTATTGGGCAGGGCTGCAAAACATTAAGTAATGGGGCCAGTGACAAAAAAGAACTTTTTCTGAATCATACTCCAGAATGCTCACCAGGACAGGAGTTCAGGCCTCTAGCAAGGGGCAAAATTTGCATTTCTGATGCCAATAGGAAAAAAGATAAGAAAAATCAAGCAAGAGATTTCTTCTGCTTGTGTAAGTGCACACATTGTACACAACCACAGTGTTTCAGTCTGTAAGAGCTCATGACAGTTTCCATAGTTCAGACTGGATGCACAGTGCTAACACAATACTTTGCAGTTCTTTTCCAGTTTCCATTGCTGTATCTGTCTTCTGCTCTTTTCTCACCTTCTTTTCCACCTACAAATAGAAAAATCAAGCTGAGAAAAAAGAGGGAAAAAAATCCTCAAACCATCTACTTCTGGGGAAATGTTTCAGTACTTGTTTCCACCCTGAACTGGGGTGGAAAGTTGAAATATCGCTTCTCCCTCTCCCCATGGGAAAAAAAAAGTTGTGAAAAACCCTTTGCTCAGAAAGAATGAAACACTTTGTTGTGAATAATTTTGGAATTAATTTTTTTGTTGAATTGGATTGTGCTGAGGGGTGATGATCACACAGTTGGGGGGCTTTTGCTGAGTAAAACCTGAGCTGTCCATCTATTCAGGTCAGATATCCAAGGGTCTGTGGGCTATAAGTTTCATGTCCTTCAATTCATATATTGAGACATGCATCATGAGCTATTTTCTCCCATGAGGGCAAGGACTGATCTCCTTTAAAGGAGGAGAGCTGCTGAAAGGTGGTGAGACCTTGAAGAAAAGGACAGGATGTCAGAGTAAATCAATCCTGCACACTGGATCCAGACCTTAGGTCCCTGGTTGATCCATTTTAATGATCTGTATTGTGGCTCTTCTCTGTCCAGGACAGGGACTCATCCAGAAAGACTCTAACTGCTCTATTGAGAGGCCTGTGGCCACCTGTGGGATGCCTTGGCCCCTGCTTGGTCCTGCTCATGTCTGTTCCTGGGCCACCTTGTTCCAGAGGTCTGTCCTGCATCTGAGCAACCTTGTTAGTCCTGCTTCCCTCTCTATGTCAAGTGTGGGCTCTTCTGCTCTGGGCATACGGCACTTCTCATTCCAGAAATGCTCTGAATTAGATAATGAACTTTTCAGGTCAGGACTGACTGGGCTCTTTTTTCCAAACTCTGCCATTAAGGAAGTGCAGTACAATAGAGACGAGCAAAAAACCGAGAGACAATGGACTTGTACAGGGTGTGTAAAACTCATGAATAAACTGTTACTGAGAAAAACACATTTCAAAGAGAAATCTGAAGGAGAAGAAAGCAGGTATTCGGTCAACCACAGCTAAGGCATTCTTCCACGCTA